TGCCCAGGGAATGGAGTCAGAGGCCCACCCACCTTCAACGCCCTCCCCAAGCCAGCCAGACTAACCCGAGCCATTCTGTGGAACCACTCGGCCTCCCTCTTACCACACGGGAGCATTTCCCAAGGCTCGGAGGGGTGGGAATTGGATAGGGCGCCAGAAACCACAGCTCTTGTCTTTGAACTCTGCCCTCTCTGGCCACCTTGGCTGCCTCCTCTCACCTGAGGGCCCGGCTCAGCTTGTCATAATTCATCTGTGGTTTGCACTTCCTGCGGCCCCAGAGGCGGGCCACCTCATCTGGATCCTTGATGACAAACTCCCCGTACTCTCCCTGCTGCCAGGCGATGACATGGCGGAACTCTTCCTTCTGCAGCAGCTCTAGGATGAAGTGCCACAGCTGGATCTGCCGGGAGCCGGGGGAGGACTCTGTTTTATAGGCCCAGTCAGGAAACTGATACCCTTTAATGTGAAAAGGGCAAGATCAAGATAGTCAGGGGCTAGGTACATGCATACCAGTATCTTGACTTCACATTCCAATGTTCAGGATCTCTAGTGCTATGCAAACATACCACAAACACCCTTTCAGTCAGGGTTGGGGCTCACCACAGCAGGGAGAGAAGCATGGAGAAGTTACCTCCATGCTTTGACAATCATTAAATCTGAGAGTTGGGTAGTAGTACCCAGATGTCCCGATCACTTACTCCTTTATATGTTTTAAATCTCAGGCCTACTTCTATGAGGGCATTAAAGTTCCAAAGGAAATAAACAGGAAAGATAAGCTACTGTTTTAGGAAAACACAGTTGAAAAGTTGGAACTGTGTCTCTAACAGGAAAGAGACAACACTTGGGATGAGGGAGTGGTGACCAGACACGTTAAACATTCATCCACAGAGAACAAGCCCTCAACTGTCCTGACAGTACTCATCCACCCGTTGAGAGGTATCAGTTGTGCCTGGCATCTGTGGAGTAGGAAGAGCCCAACAGCAGAGAAAAGGAGCCAGTGAGGGACATTCCAGGTATATCAGAGTTGATTTAACACCTGCTCACCTCCACCTCCCTCTGGCTTTTCCACGATGCTACAGCCTGCTTTCATTTTCACCGTCCTGCTGAGAGATACAAGCCACAACAATTACTTTAAAGGGCTGTTTAATTTATTATCCTCCCAAGGTTTCTGGCACAGCCTTTTCCCAAACTTCCTTTTCCCTATCTGTACCTCCTTATGTAACCCTCTTTCTTTCAAACATGTCACCTCTAAACTGTTAATCCCCAAGTCATCAAATGATGGTCCTCTGGTCATCAGCTTCAAAGGCTGTAATTATCGCTCACCTGACTTCAAACCACAAAGTGTAAACACTGTCTTTAATATTTGTTTTCTTCCTCCTGACCAGTCCTTCAAATGTAAAAAGGAAGGGTACGGTGAAATAGGTCCAAAAAGGCAGCCAAAACAAGTCAAACAGTTTGTCTTCTATTACTAGACAGGCCTGGATGCCAAGATACACAAGCCTGAGTTACCCAGATGTACCAGTTTAAAGAAGAGTGAAAAAAAAAAATCAAAATCCATCTGATTGCCACTCAAAAATGCACATCTGATTTTGATTTATTTCACTGAATTATGTGAGATGGGAGAAAGAAAACTCCTCCCAATCAGAAACAGCTCCTTCCCTGAAAAACACCCTGGGATACAGGAAGTAAACACATCATATCATATGTACAGTCATCCTATACAATAAATATGTACTCCCAAAAACTGTTTTGTGGAAAAGTTTATATTTAATTTTTTTAATAGCAAAGGGGGAAAAGAAAAGCAGGCATTTCTGAGCATCTCCTGTCCAGTAAGTGCAGGGATACTTTGATGCGATCTGAATTCATTCCATGCAGATTTAAATTCCTCAATACATTTCCTGTTCCTAGCAGCAAGCTGCTTCGTGTCAGTCAATCCTTTAGTAAAAAAAGGAGGGAAGGGAGAAACTGCCAGAGGGAAATGCAGGCAGGAGAGGTCAGACCCACCTTCAAGCTCCCTAGGGTGGGTGACAGGCCCTCAGCACCCACATTAGCAGGAGTCTTGTGAGAATGTAGATGCCTCAGAGGCTCTAGGGTGGGGCGGGGAAAATTCCTAATCTTGGAAATTTCACTGATTCCTTTGAATCCCTTGACTTTTTCTCACCACACACATTAGAAGCAAGTTTTAGCCTTTAAAACTACCAGGGAATAAGGAAGAGATAAATATCCCAAAGGAAGGCAAAACCAAACACAGACACATAGTCATATACACAAGGTACACAATAAGGCGGCCCAGAGCTGAGGCAGGAGCTTCCTCTCCAGGCTGCTCCCATCTCCGCGACAATGAGGGAGGAAAAACACTAATTTCCCCAACCGCTGCAGGAAGCTGTCCTGGACTCTAGCTCCTGGAGTGTCCTGAAGATCTCGGGCCTTCATCCTGCCACACGAACGCCCTTCAATTGCCAAGACTCTGGGGTCCAAACCTCGCTGCAACAATGACGATCAAGAGAACTGTCTCCTGACATCCCAGAGCCCCGACTTCCCCCGTTAAGCTCCCCCTCCTAGGAGCCTGGAGGCGCCTCGACAAGCCTTTCAAAAATTCACTCTGGGGACATTTCGCCCCAGGAGGGACACTCCTCTCAACTCTGCAAACCCCATCGGAGCGCTCGCCCTGCCTCGGACGGCGAACATCCCCCGAAAAGTGAGGCGTGCAGAGTATGGCGCTGCAGAGCCCCCGCTCAGCTCCCAGACCGGCTTCCGCAGACCCAGAGCCTGCTTTCCACTTGCCTCCCGCTCGGGCTTCCCTCATCCGTGGCCTCGGCGCTCCGCGGAGCCACCTCACGAACGCCGCCAGGTCCCCGTCGCCCCTCCGACGCGCAGCCCCCTCCTTCCCCGCCCCCCGCGCCGGGTGAGGCCGGCTGGTGGTACGTGGCCCGGGAGGCGGCCCGATCCCAGGGATGCCAGCCCCGCCGCGGCCCGGGGGGTTGGCCCGGAGGGGCCCGGCGGCGGCGGTCAGGCCGGGACTCACCTCTTCCCGGCACGGTCGGTCTTCGGTCCGGTCTCCTCCGCGGCGTCTCCGGCTCCTCCTCATCCACCCCAGCAGGAAGTGACCTCCGCGGCTGCTTTCGTCACTTCCATCGTCGGCACAGAGGGCGGGGGAGGAGGCGGCGCCCTCCTGCGGGGCTCCCGGCCTCGCCGCCGCGCCCAGGCGCGTCTCCCTCTCCTTTCTTCTTTCGGCAGACGCCAACTTCCGCCCGCACTCCGCCTCCGGCGCGCGCTCCTCCCGCCGCGCTACCCGCGCCTCCGCCCCTGCGCGCCGCGTGCGTCACGCTGCGGGGGCACGTCACGTCGCTCGCGGCGGGCGGTGTCGCCGGGTCGCGTGCCAGGGGTCGGGTCGCAGGGCTTCTGGAGGGCCGCTGAGCGCGTTCGCGCCGGGACGGCGCGGCTCTGCGAGACCCCCAGTAGCGTGAGGAGACCTCGCAGACGCCGCAGGAAGGGCAAGGGCGCCGGGAAAGGGCCCCCACCCCCGCCGCCGCCGGGAGGAGCCCCCTTGTCCCCAGAAAAGGGCCCTGCCGCCCCGCTGAGGGGCGGATCCGTAGGCTTGGAGGGCTCTCTACGAGCGGGCGGCTCGGGTCCCCCGGGAGACTCCGCGGAGCGCGCTCTGCGGCGTGTTACGGGCTTTTACCCGCTGTGGAGGAGGTGCGAGCCGCTCCTTGCTTAGCCCGTTCTGCCGCTGTCGTCTTTATTTATTTGAGCAGCTTGCAAGTCTTCTCCCGTCATTCAGATACCTCTTTTACCTCTACCTTTTGTTCCGGTTGACGCAGTTACAAGTGCCTTGTCCAGAGCTCATTATTGGGGGAGGACCTCAAGCAGTTCAACTTTTATCTCCATCCCCAGCTCTGTGTGTCTCGTATCCAGGCTTATCAATAGTTCTAGAGGCAAAAAAAGGAGGGAGGGGTCGCAGTAAAGGTTAAATTAAACTGAAGAGGAAGAGCTGAAGTGAAGAGAGAGGAAGTGGAAGGAGAATTGGACGATTTGTGATAAGGGAGTGGACGGCTTCCCGCCTTTCTTTCAGCAACACCTATATATCCAGAAAGCTACAAAGAACGTGGAAGCACCATCATTAGTTGTTAGAAAAATTGACTTCTGGTTTTGGGTTGCCTACTAGTCATTCTCCAGCTGTTGATAAATTATCTAGTAAGTTGAGCCCTCCCTCCTGGACCCTATGTTGCCTTTCCTGTTTAAAAAAGAAGGCTAATGGCACTGGTGATGTAAGGTCTTTTCTAGCTGGAAAATCCTGCTGTGTAGGTAAATGAGTAAAATTTCAGCACTGTAGAGTACTGAACATATCTGCAGCTGCAAGATTTTTGAGTGTAGAAACTGTCCTTTGTATCTCTGTGCAGTACCGAGAACAGTGTCTTCTCTGTAAATGTTAGCTGTTTGGTTGAACATTGATTTTATAGTACTGGAACTGGGCTAACACATGTAGATTGAAGCAGGTCCTAGTACCTCCACTATTAGCTGTGTGCGTTTGGTCAAGTTATTTAACCTCGCTTGTCTGTGTGAATGTACTACTTACAGCATGGTTGCATTAAATATGTTACTATATGTGGTGTGGTTATACCAGAGAAGGACACATTTTTAATTGTGGCAGGTGAACAAAGTTGGTAAAATAATTGTTGTGAAAGCCATCACACAAAATTCTCAAATTCTCACACCACCCATGCAAATCTTAAAAATTGTGTCAACTCAGAAACCAGGGTGATCAGGAATGAACAGCTTCTTCTGAGATTCTGAAATTGCGAACCTTTAGTTCCTGGCTCAGATGAACATGTTTCCAGCCGCACTTTACCTTCCAGGACCCTGTGTTCTGCCAGAAAGCAGAATATAGGAACTCTTTCTATATATTCGTATTCACCCCAGCCTCCTAGGTCTCTGCTGCTGCTTCCTTGACTAATTAGGGTCACAAAGGATGACTTGAGTAAGCACAATTAACAGAGATAAACAGGTCTCTACCTGGCTCCAGTCTAAATTGACATAGTAAAAAATGTTTATATGCCAGCCAAACTCAAGAGTTTTTACATGAAGAATTTCATCACTGGTCTGAAACTCAGAAGGTGAATTTGGGTCTGATAAAGTGAACTGGAAATTCCCTAACAACTAATGGGCCTGGATACATGAAGTTTGTACTCCGGGCTCCAGCCGCTCTCTTGTGATGGTGGAACCTGGGGAGATTGGAATGGCTAGGGACTACTTGCCTTGGTCCCCAAACACTATGCTTCACCAAGAGGCTGCCACCTTCTTTATCCACTGCAGAAGAGCTTTCAGCACTTTCAGCCTCTTGTTCCTGACATATGGAGAACATGAATTTTCTGAAAGTACAGGGTGTGAAAACATCAATACGCACTTCAGGAGGTGGTAATCTCTCCTGAATTTCCACTTGCTCAAAGCCCTCTTTGTGCATGGTCACTGCTCTCTGCTCCCTTTCCACTTATGCATCTAAAATATCTAAATTGATATATGACCTTTATAAACGTCCTATGTGCCTAGATTAAGTTTTTGTTCTAAAGCATACACTCTCAAAACAAAAGATACTCCACTGCTGCTTGAATTAAAACGACAGAAAAGAAAGAACTCTAAAAATTTATTTTTCTTAAAAAAAAAAACAACCAACAAACCCTTCCTGGATTGTTTTTCTTTCCCAGCTCTCTCTTCTGTGTGGCTCCACTCTCATTTGTACACTGATATTCTCCACATCCCAGTTTACCTGGCCACATATATGATATAATCTGGTGGAGTAGACGCCACTAGAGTGTCATGTGCATATTTGTTCTTCTCAGTGTGTTTGTCTTAGATTGTAGGCCCTCAGAGGTTAGAGCCCTGTCGGTAGATCCCACAGTGCCCAGGGCAGTTCTGTGTCATCACTTGACATGCCTAATGATGATAATTTCCTTCTCTGTTAACATATGGGCGGATGTGCTACCCAGATGAGCTTTGTCCCTCCCTCCTCTGTCTCCTCTAAATCTCCAGTAAGAAGCAGGTAGCTTCTTTTCCCCAATGTGTGTTCTCACTGAATGCGGACTTGGGAGCCCCAGTTGCAGTTGCAGTTCTGCACCTTGCTAGCTGGGTGCTCTGACAAGTTGCTGATGTCCCTGAGCTCTGGCCTCCTCATCTGCAGAAAAGGGGGCTGTTGGTGTCTTTGATGAGGATGGGCTGTACAGCGGCTTGGGGGTGTTAGTAAACCATGAAACCCTTCATGAGGTCAAGGATCATGATTACTCTTGCAATACCCAGCCCCTACACCATTCTTAGTGCCAAGAACTCAAGCTATACAGTTGTTAATCATCTAATTTCGCAAACTTTGAGTGGATTTAATGTTCCAAACTTGGGTAGAAATCTGATGAAAGAATAGTTTTGCCTTGAGAATTAGGGTTCTCAGGTTTTTTCATTTAGGTACCTTATTATGAAACCTAACTTGAAGCAATCCATATCAATAGCTCTGTGCCTCACTGTCCCCATAATTTTATATTGGCCATGCAAAGAAGCTCCAGACAGAAAAATACTAATATTAAAACATTATATTGATGAAGTCAAGGATTGAAGTGTCTATGAAACTGAGTTATTTCCACTCTTTGTGACTCAGTTTCCCTTTCAGTTAAGTGAAGATAAATTGTCATAAAAGAATTAACTTTGACTAACTCTTATTTGCATTTTACCACACTGGGGTCAAGTAGCTCATAAAGTTTTGTGTTTTGGCTTATTTTTCCCACCAACCCAAGGTTGTTGTAAGGATAGAGGACTTAATGTCAGTAACATGAGTGGGGATCCCCAGATTAAAGGTTAAGTGTGTCCAAAGCAGAAGTAAATTTGCCCATAGTCACTGCTCAGCCAGAAGGAGCATAGAGCCTGGATGTTTATTTAATAGTGACTTGGGGACTCAAGGACTCTCCCCAATTCCACGTTCATCACAGTCAACAAATACCCCTTCTTCTCATTTCCCTTTTTTCAGTCTTGGTTCCCCCATCTCAAATCAGCACAGTAGACAGGAGCTCACAAAGAAACGGAATGGGAGAACAGGATTAACAGGAGGAAATGGCAACTGAAGTTACTTTCTGCCCCCTTCACTGTCCCCACCCCAGTCCTAGGGAAATGTTCCCCTAAGCAAATATTTGATTGCCAGAATCTACCTATTTCTGAGGGCTTACTTCTTCCAGGAAGCCTGTAGGAGTTAATTGGCCCAAGGGCCTAGTTTTCCCCTGTTTTACCTATTTAGAATGTGTCTTACAAGGCCCACTTTCATAACACCTGAAACTTGGCTTGTTAACCACAAACAATTCTACTGTCTTCTCTATTTAACGTTCACATCAGACTTTCTCTACATTTCCTTTATGACTGTCAGCATCATTTATCATCCTGTGAGGGCAGAGATCGGGTCTATATAATTCTCATTCTATAATGGCCAATAAAAGTGACACTCATTGTAACAGAGATGTGGGAATCATAGTGTAACAAATACCAGTACTGGATGTAGTGAACAACGGAGTGAGGCCTTGAATCCAATTAATTCAAAGGCAATCATCTTGTGAGTATTTTACGAAGGCTTTCCTTTAATCATCTCCCATGTATTTTGGGACTTGTAAAATCTTAGTGATAGAATGATTGTCAGAGATCATCCAAGTCCTACTGGTCTCTACTTGCACTCTCATTGTGACATGGTTTTTTCATCTTTGCCTAACATCTAGTCAGTCTAGCTATTCATTATAAAATATGTCATATCTACTAAAGAGTTTATGAAAAATACATGCTTCTCAGTGGAACAACAATAAAACAAAATACTAAATTACCTCTCATGAGTGTAAAGAGTAGAAATCAATCCATACCTAAAGTCTTCTTTTGCCCCTCCTGATTTTATCACAATTTCAATATCTAGATCAGCCTAAATTATAGAAAGTTCTTCCTTATATGGAGCTACAATGTTTTCTGCTGACACATTGGCCCATGACTCCTGGTTCTGGGCGTTGGGGCTCTGCAGATTAAATTTAATATATCTCCCATGTGACAACATCAGCTATTCGGAAACAGGTACTATGTCTTCTATAAGAAGTTGCTGG